TTTTGAAAATCGAAATCGTAAAAAAATGCGAATTCGATCTTCTTTTACTGAGCTCAATATTGTGGAATGAAGCCGATTTTGAATCTATATTATCAGACAAGTCGACTTAAGCTGATGATGGCTATATTAGGAATTTCTATTGCAGTAATATTTGTGAAATATTTACATATTTCTTTGTTATCGACGACTTATCAAAGTAATATAGTGGCAGAATTTAGACCTATTGGGCGAAATCATCTTCCATAGACCAGAATATGGCCTTGATTTCTTTGTGTCGATTTTTTAAAGACGAATCGATTTAATTGCAGTCGACTCCTATAATTGATCCAAAATATTTATTAAAAATAAAATTATTTCAAACATGCAATTAGACTTTCAATTTTCAAAACCTGTTCAAATTGAAATTGAAAATGCGAATTGCAATCGAGAAAATTACGTAATTCAGAGTAAATTTTTTATATATTTTTTTTTCTATTTATTATTGGAAATCACGTTTAAATGGACCATTAAACAAGAAGGTTCAGGTAATTTTAACCTCTTGTTAAAGTTAATAGTTTGGTAAATTTTCAATTTTTCCCCCAGCTTGTTGTTTTGTTTATCTTGAAAATATAAAATGTTTATTTTTAGTGTTATTTTTTTTTTTAATGTAACAGCAAGAAGCATAGATTTTTTTTCTTAGATAGTTTTTTTGTTTGACATATTCTTTAATCAAGATTAAGGTAACCGTATCTATAATATTAATCTACTTTAAAATAATGTTAACACTTACCGGTTGTTCACAAAAAAATACTTTTTAATACTTACCGTTGTTAGGCAATTATTGTAATAAATTTTGTAATTTTAAATTTTTTAGTAGAGAAAAAACAAACAAAAATGGTCAACTGAAGTGCGAAATTTTTAATATTTTTGTTTTTGTTAAAAATATCATAGTAATATAAGAAAATATTTAATTTTGATTCTAATCTCTTGATTATTATCTAAAAAATTTAATGTTATTAGAATTTTATTCGCCTTAAATTTTATATTACAATTAAGAGGTTATAGGAACGTGTTAAAATATACATGAACAAATACATTGTATGATATTTGATTAGATTTAATTCACTGCATGTATACTCCCTTTGAAAATAAATTTCTCATTTTGGACTTTGGATTTTGTATGATATTAAATTTCATACAATCTTGTTAAATATACATAATGTATGTATTATGGTTCAAATTTGAATTAATATACAATAGAACAATGCTACAGTATGAAATATTAAAATTTTAGTTGAATGATTTTATGATTTCGTTCTAAGAGGACCAATAACGTTCTACTAAAGCAAAATCTAACATAAATATGTGTGTGATTGAATAATTTTTTATACTAAAATTGGTCTACTACAATGTTGAGATGATTATAATGAACCAGTAATTTAAAACATTTTTAATGATTTAATTTTAAAATTCTATTTAAATAAAATAATTATCACCGCCATTAAATTATAGTGCAAGAAACATATAATTTTTATTGAAAAGTTGTAAGAGAGACAACTAAATTACATTTCATAAAAAAAAAAAAAAAAGAATCGCCATTCCACTGCGTCCAAATCATATTTTATAATAAAAGTTAAAAATTTCTTAAGAATTTCCTTCAAATTGCTTGTATACAACTTGAAAATTTTTCAATTACAATTTTTTGCCTCAAAGACATAATTAAAACCCAAATTTGTTGCTTTTCACAAGAGCAACACTTAAATTATTAAAAAAATATTGTTCTAAAAATGTTAATTTAGAAAAATGTATATGAAAATATAAAAGTCAATAAATTGTATAAATTTTAGCAAATTATATCTACATATTAAACAGTTATAGAAACTCAATTTAAATTGCATATTTAATTTGGGCATTAAACAAATTCAAATTATTATAAATGAATAATTTTAATTTTATTTTTTTTTTTAGTTAATTATTGGCTGTCTTCCTTATTAGCTGCTGTCTTTATATAAAATTCCAAATGTGTAATGAAGATCCTCCAAATGTAAAACAAATAATAATATAGCTGAGATGAGTAGATACATACACCCGCTTATTTGTGTTGACGTTCGTTTATTCCATTTGATAGATAACTTTATACGAAAAATAATTTTCAAATTTTTTAAGCTTGAATTTTTCGATTTAATTTTATTTCAAAGTTTTTGGTTTACTATTTCTACAGTTATACATTTCTTGTATTGTGTACCAGTTCAATTACTGTATAACAGAATTCTGTATGTAAAGGTTTACTATTTCTACAGTTATGCACTTCTTGTACTGTGTACCAGTTTAACTACTGTATAACAGAATTCTGTATGTAAAGGTTTACTATTTCTACAGTTATGCACTTCTTGTACTGTGTACCAGTTTAACTACTGTATAACAAAATTCTGTATGTAAAGGTTTACTATTTCTACAGTTATACACTTCTTGTACTGTATACCAGTTCAATTACTGTATAACAGAATTCTGTATGTAAAGGTTTACTATTTCTACAACTATACACTTCTTGTACTGTGTACCAGTTCAATTACTGTATAATAGAATTCTGTATGTAAAGAATACTTAATTGCCATTCATAGACGGCCCGCAATATCTTTGGGATTAACTTGACTGTGTCATTGTTTTGTTCAAAAAATTTAAACTGAAAAATAAAATACAAAGATAAGAAAAGCTCATTTTTTACTTTTTTTTTTTTTTATATATAAAGTCTCGTATATTCAAATAATTTTTCATTATAATTTCTTTATATTTTATTCTTTTTCTCATATTTTTTTTCACATTTTTTTCTATTTTATTTTGTTTTTTGTATTAAATTTTTTTTCATATTATTTTCTTGTATTTTTTTTTTTATTTTTCAATATAATATTAATAATATATTAATATATTTTTAATATAATAGATAATAATAGTCATATAATAAATCCTATTGTTAATTACTCTGTTTTTTTTTTTATTTTTCTTCCGTTTATTTTTTTTAAATATAAATATTAATAGATTTTTTATGTTTTATATATAAAATTGTTGCTTTGATTTTTTCTTTATTTAATTAATAAAATAATAATAATTAAAATGAAATAATATTAATAATTATTATAATAATTTTATTTTTTTTAATTTTACTTTTTATATTTCTACTTTTTTTTTAAATTAATTTTCGATATATAAAAAAAAAGAAACAAACTTGTCGCAATTTTTATTAATTATTTTATTATTTTTTTTTTAATTTATTAGTTTTATTTTTCGTATATAGCAAGTAGAAATTTTTAATATTTTTAAATTTTGTTTTATTGTGTTAATATTTTGTGTTAAAAAATTTTATTATTGTTCTTAATTTTTACATATTTTTTAATATTAAATGTTTAATATTAAGTTTTTTTTTTGTCTAATTATTTTAAGTTAATTTATTTTTTCTTTTCATAATCTATGGTGTATTTTTTATAATTAATTTGTATAAAAAAAAATAATTATATTATTTAATAATTATTGGTTTGAAATTTTCTTTAAAAATTAAAATTTTTTTTAATTATTGCTCCATGTTCTGTTTGTAGCATCGCTTGACCCATCACTGTTGTTTTTTAAAAGGCTTGTAACTTTATAAATTAAATTATCAAAATATTTTTCAATAATATTCTATTCATCTTAAGTGATGCGACTAACAGAATATAAGCGATTATTTTATGAAATTATTATTGTGCTTTTGTTTTTATACAGATTTATTTTATTAATATATAAAATTGATTTAAAATGAAATGTTTTCGAAAATATTGAAACTGAAGTTTCCAAGTACAATTTAAAACAATTTTTTGCATATGTTCAAAGAAATATTTAATTATATATATAGGTTCTTTTGAAAACTCAGTTCTAACTTAGTTGGAACTATGTTGCAGTGTGTATGTTTACTAAGAACTGCTTAAATTGTAAAGCACTGTATTTTAAAAAATGTAAAATTATAATTTCAGGTTTGTTGAAAACTACAAAATTGTAGACATTTCAGAAATTTCATGCAACTGTGAATTTACATTTTAATTCTCTAACTACAATAGCTTAATTATCAAACAAAATGGATAACAATTTTATCTCTACTTCCTTTAAGAACATATTAAAATTTATAATATTTATGAAATTTTTTTCAAAAATTCGTTATTTTAATTTTCATATTATGTAAATAGAATAATGACACTTTTAATTTAGTATAAGAATTGCATTTTCAAAAATAACAGTTAGTTAAAGATCTGTTAAAAAATTTGTAAAATAAAAAATTTTTTGCAGCTGTTGGCAATTTTTTAGTCGTAAGTTTGAAAAATGTGTACGCATACTGCGTTTTCAAAAGAATCTTATTATGTAATTAAGAATTAAACCGAATTATAAATAAAATGAGATGATTAAGAGTTTTTGATTTTCATTATTTAATTAATAGAAACTATAAATGAAGAGCTATATTATTTAACTGCCAAAATTGTACTTGTGCTAACTGTAAAAATTTCTGTAATTTAATGAAAATTTTAAAGAATTTACTAAGATAAAAATATGGAAACTATTCAATAATTTAAATAAATTATTAAAAAATTTTTTGTTAAATATATATATATTTTTGTTTTTTTTAATTAGAACAGAATCAATTAAAAAATATTTAACAATATTTAGTTTTTAATTTAATTTATTTTTTATTTTATTAATGAATTCTAAATATAAAATTATATTCGAATAGGTTTTAATTTTTATATATAATTTAATATAGGATTTTAATAATTAATTAATTTATGTAATTAATTATAATTGTAGGATCATAATTTTTTTATTATTTCTGATTTTAAAAACTTTTGCGTAAAAATTGTTGATTTTCATTTTGAATAAAGCTTACATTTTGTTTTTTTTATTTTGTTTTTAAATACATTTAAGAGCAGTTTGTTTGAATATTTACAAAGCTTTTTTATATATTATGTATATTGATAAAATGTAGAGTTATGTAGAATAAATTATGTTACATAAAGTTATTGTAGAATTTATGGTTCTTTTGACATTTTATATACTTAATAATTTACAGAATTAAAGAATATTGAAATTTTTGATTTATTTGAGTCTTTTTTTTTTATATAAGTTTAAAGAAAATCTATGTTGCATTAGTATAAAATTGTTTTGGGGTTTTTTTGTTTCATGTTTTGGAGACTTTTGTTTTGTTTAATTTTTACAAAATTTATCTAAGATTATTGAATGTGAATAGAAATATTTTTACATTGACTTAAGTACAAATTACTAATATTGTGAATATATTTAAGAAATTGTATAGTTTTATAATTCTTACTCTGTAGAAATAATTGGAGACTTTTATTTCCTTGACCTAATTTACTTTTTGTGGGTTATTCACTTTTTGTGGGAAAAGTTGACTATCAACTGTTTGTATAAATATAAATATTTTGGTTAAAAAATATTTCAAAAAAATTTTGCCCGTTAAAAAGGTCTTTCTGATAAAAATTGTAAACTGAACCTTGTTATAAAATTTTACAAGTATGCTATAATTGTACAATTTTATTATAGGTATATACTTTAAAAGCTGAAAAATTTACATTTGATATCTTTCTTTTTTTCAGGGGAAAAGCTGTCTTGTTTCGGAAATTCTGGAAATGTGGAATATAGTTCATTATGATTGGATTTCTTCGTTGCAATTTGAGATACATCAAGCGTTACAATACCTTATATGCCAAATTGATTTGTTCTTGGTCTTGCAATAGTTTGCCATTATAGCACGTAAGTATTTGTTTACTTTACATTTATAGTAATTATTATTTTCTGTTTGCATTAGTAGCCCATCAATTCATAATAATTTTTGTTTTTTTTTGTAATAAACTAAAATATCTTAGATACTAAAATAATTTCGTGCATAACATATATTTTTCAATATGTGCATGAATTTTGAAGAAAAAATTATTTTTTCAAAATTTTTCTTTTACTTCTTTCAAATAATTTTTTTTTTAAAATAATTATTATTTAAATGAAAATAGTAAAAGATAATTTTGGAATAAATTAAAAGAATTTTTTTTTAAATAAATATTATAAATTTTGTGTGAATTAATTGCTATCCATAATAATTACCATATAATCTAGGTCAGATTCGAATAGGTTGGAATCTGAAAACATAAATTTTTGAGCACAACATTTTGAATAAATAGAGTTAAACTCTATTTATATCAAGAAATTTTTGGAAACCTATTACTACTTGATATTATTTTTCTGCGACCAACTTTTATTTACTATTTAAGTTTGGCTATCTCTGGGTCCAAAATATGGGGAGAACTTAAAATTTTCATGTAAAACTTGTTTTAGGAATATTTGTATCTTACTTCTATGCAAATTACAAGCATAATCAAAATAATAACAAGTTGAATATCTAAGTTATGCGAATGAGTAAGAATTTTTCGTACTAAATAAGTGCTGTTGTTACTAATAAATTTTAAGAAATTGCTTGGAATATTATTCAAATTTATTTGTTAAGTTTAAAATTTTTAATAGTAAAAATTTAAAAAATCTACTTTAGTCTCCAAATCGTACTTTAAATATAAAAAAAAATAAATGCAAGTTTTTTTTGTAATTTTGTGCAGTTTTACAAGTCAACTTATTTGGTTATTATTCATTAAATATAGAAAAATGAAGACATTTTAATATTTTTCATTGAAGAAGTCTTTTACATTTATAGTATATACGTAAATTCGACACTGAAGAGTTTACTTTGAACACAATATATAGAATAGTATTAATTACGAGTAAATTTCTATGATAATTTTCAATAAATCTCATTTTGATCGTCTTTCTTATTTCTGATTCTTGCAGATTAATAAAATTAATGTTTTTTCCTATTAATATTCATTCATTCAGCACCAGCTGAACTATCAGGAGTTATATTGGAATCTAAACTAGCACAATCAGATTCTTGCTCTTGTGTTTCTGAATAATTTGCTGCTTCTTGAAGACGCATTAACATATTTAACTGTAATAGAAGAATAAAATAAGTATTAAGTATTAATATTATTCTCTAAGATATGAAAAACATCTTTCATAAAAAAACCCAAAAATAAAAATGATATAACTCACCAAGGGATCTTGTGAATCTGGATTTGCAACTCCAGTACTCTCTAATCCAACATCTTCTGCCATAATTTGCCTTAAAGGCGGTACCGAATCTGGTCCATATTGCCACGGGTACGTATCACGAATAAATGTTGATGGATCATTCCATGCTCCACCACGTCTACCATATAATTGTACACCTTCTCGTACAGCTTCGACTAGATACGGAGCTAAATGGTAATTCCATATATCTGTAAACCATACTTGAGAATCTTTTAAATCGAGTGGACAGGTCAAGAATAATCTTGGACCAATTGTTACATCACTGCTACTATGATTTTCAAGAAAACGATTAATATGTTGCCATACTGTTGGAAGCCATGTCAAAACTGTTGATAATTCATTTTGATGAGTTTGGGTTTGAAGTTCTAATGAAAATAAACGTCGTCGAAGAAAACGTCCAAGGAATCCTTTAACTGGTTCCATATGATTTGCAGTTAAAACCTATAATTAAAAAAAAAGTTAAGCATCAATAGTTTAGTTTTTCTATTTAAAAAATTTACCCATCGGAAATTGTGATGTAATTGCAGATTTGTCGTATTACAGGTAGCTTGTGACATTGTTCCAATAATGCATGGTAATTTGGCAGCTGGGCCCGCACTTAATAATGATGAAAAGACATCACCAAGTGCTGAAGCATGATGTAAATTATCTAAAATAATCACAGAGGGCAATTCAGATGCGCCATTTGGCATTGATGCTTGTTCAGCAATATGACTTAAATATTGGCGGAGTTCTTTCGATGATTTATGATCAACACTATAGGAGGTTTTAAATTTCAATTAGTATCAAATGAAAACCAATAGTTTAAAAATCAAAACTTACTTAAAAGTAGCAATAGCTTCAGAAATATTACACCTTCCAGATCTTGCAACTAAAAATTCTGCTAATTTTCTAGCTAAATATGATTTACCAGTTCCACTAGGTCCACATAAAATTAATCTACGGTGTTCAGTTAATAAAGTGATGTATCTATGTACAATGCTACGTGGAATCAAGCTATCAAAAGACAAACTACCAACACCTTGTAAACAAATGTATAAAGTCTTAACATTTCCAATAATATATCCACATGGAAGTAATTCGGGGAAGCCTACTTCAGGACCACGTTTAGCTTCACCTAAGTGGTATGATGTAATGGAGTCGGTATTCAAACCTAAATTCGTACCAGGATCAATTCTAGCTACATAATCTTTAAATGTTTTTCTAACAATATAATCTAAATTTTGCCATGTTGTCTTTCCCGAAATATATGTATAAGCAATAACAATTTCATTTAAATTTGCATTTGAAAATTTTCGAACTTCAAAACCGTTTTCTTTATTGTTACTAGATTCATCTAATTCCTTTGATAGCCCATTATTACAATCATAATAATTATCAATTTCATAGATTTCTTCTAGATATTTTGAAAAGGACTCTGGTTGACCTAAATAAACGGCAATAGAAATTTTTTTACCGTCTGTCATATCGGGTATATCTTCTATGGCTAATGGAAGGACGGTTGATTTTAATTGTGTTGGACTTGGTGCTTCGATAGCAGGCGGTGGTGGTGTTAAATCTATATGTGTTGTTGGACTAATGGAAGACGGAGGTGGTGGTTCAGGTGCTGGTGCCGGTGGTATATTTTCTTCTTCGGTTTCTTCGTCTAAACTCTTTGGTAATTCCATTGGTGGACGACCTGAACTATCTGCTAAACTGTAACGTCTTGATTCTCCAATAGAACCACTTGGACTAATAGCAGTACCTAATGATACTTCACTTCCAGCTAATGATCGACTAGTTACTAATTTTTGTAAACGTTCATTATTTTGTTTTAAAGTTAACATTTCGGCACGCATTTTCATCACAGTATCCTTGAGGCTCTCTAATTGTGAAGCAGAACTTAAAGCCTCTAAACGAATATCAGTTAAAACTAAATCTTTTTCACGAAGTTGTTTTTTAAGATCTTCTACAACTGGATTTCCATCTAATTCAATTGCATCAACTGGTTTGGCATTTTCAATAATAGTTACTGTTTTCTGTGGACTATTCTTCGAAGGACTGGGAGGAGGTAAATTTGTTAAATTACTTTTATCTTTTTGATTTTGTTGCTCTTGTTGCTGTAATTGTTGCTTTGGTTGTTGTCCGTTTTGTTGTTGTTCTTTTGAATTAGCTTTTATTGAATGATTTGGACTATTTTGTTCATTTGGATTCGAATGATTTTTATGTTGTTGATTTGATTGTTGTGATTCAGCAACATGTCTACTTGTTTTAGATATTTTAGCATTTCTTGAAAATGCTTTTGTAAATGAACTACGAAGCCAACCTTTTTTCTTTTTCTTATCTTGTACAGAACATCCTCCTGAACTAAGAGAATTTAAAGAACACATAGAATCTGAACTATGATGTCGTTGCATACTAGGTAGATTCGATGGTGAAGAATTCGGTGTTCCGTGAGCATTTTGAACAGCATTACCATTAACAGTTTTTGATGTACCATTTATATGTTTTGGGCTACCATTTGGAATTGATTGATTTGTACCATGTGTATGTTTATTTTGATGTTGATGTTTCTGTTGTTGTTGATTTTGTAAATTAGTTGATGTTACATTTGCTTGTTGTACACCCATACTTTGCATATGAGCTGTTGTTAAACCGGCTTGAATTGATTGTTTACGTAATAGTTCTATAGTTTGACGCATATCAGTTAATTCGCCATCTTTACGTTCAGCAGTTGCAGTCAGCTGTTGAAGACGTTGTGTCATATTTGAAAGACTTTGCTCGAATGCAGCGACAACATGTGCCTGAAAAAGGAAATTAATATAATTGAATTAAAATGATTGAAATTCGTATAATATATTAATATTTAAGTTAATAATTAATTTGTTTTTGTTACACAATATGTATTGGTGTATTCTTTGGTATGTTTACAATGTAATAAAACATTATAAATTTGCATAATCATTATACTATAATTTATATTAATTAAAAGGTTTTCGAAGAGGCGGTAGCAAAATACTTTTATTACACATCAAACTAATAATTTTAAAAATCATTTAAAAGTTATTTAATATAAATATTACGGGTATGAAACAGCAATTTTACAGTGATAAAAGTAGGGGTATAGGTAGTTGTTATGATTCGAACTTAAAATCCGGGAGAAATTAATTTGTCGGATCAAAACCAAGTAAATCTTAACAAATTGTGGAGCAATATAAAATATTTAATTGATTTATGAAAACTGCCTCACGCTAATCATTCGGATCTTTGAAAGACCAATCAGTGTTGCCTTTTATTAAGATATTAGTTTTTTCCATATTGAAAATTTCAAAGCCTTGCAATCCAATATCATCTAGTATAACTTAAGTATAAACATTATCGTAAAAAAATTCTTATATTTACTAATCATGACCTCTTTATATTTTATTTTTTTAAACAGTCAAAGGGCTGCTATATACAATCAATCAATTATTAAAGATTAGAAAAGTCAAAAACTTTGAATTTTAGGTTGCAACCATAGGATTATTAAAAAGTAATCGCTTTATCTTTAATTTTTTATTTAAGTAACTATTTTGTTATCGATCATTTGGATGATTTAAAGAATTTTCGAAAACAATTAACAAAAAAAAATGTGTGTTCGCTCTCCGGTAAGTGATTCATTAAACACACAGAATACTCGTATTTATTTTTATTGTATAACGAGAAAATCATTATTTTTTAATTATGCTTAACTTGTGGTAAAAATTTTTTTTTTTAAGGTACTTCATTATTTTTAAGCACTTTGTAACTATATTGAATAGGAAAAAAAATAATAAGGAAAAAAGAATGAGAAAAAACTTTAACAAACCAAAAAGGAAAAAAAAACAATGCTTACAATGCTTTTCTTTAACAGGTGTGGAAAGGTAAACAAGAAAAAAAAAAAGTTTTTTTTCTTTCTCTTTTTCTTTTTTTGGACCGTTTATTTTTCGTTTTTCATTCTATCAATCATTGAAAAGCTAAATCAGAAGTGAAGATTCGAAAAGAATCGTTTGAAAATTAAAAGAAAAAATATTTCATTTGGCGCCTAAAATTATAAGCCTATATTAGCAGCAGTGGCACTGACGAAAGATTTTTTGTTTTTACTTTTTTTTGTAAAACTTTTATATTGTGTTGGATGAACTGAGGTGATTCGTTTGGAATTCTTCAAAGAATTGAAATTAATATTGTTTTTTTGGCAATTCTAACTTGTTTTTGGTTTTTTTTTCAATTAAGTTCTGCTTGCTTTTGGTTTTCTCAATTGATTGATTACGTTTATACTTAGTGGATTTTTAATATGAATGTGGTAAAACCTTATAGTGAAAAAGGTGTGTATAGAATTTTAGAATATTTTAATAAATTCATATTATACCGTCTTAATGGTGTTAAAATATTATTAATTTTAATTTTATTTCGTGTTCCGATGTTAATTTAGGGTTTAGTTTTGGAATTTCAATAGTTTTGCGGTCGAAAAAATAAAATTTCGTTTGTTCATCATGTTGTCATGTAGACACGTAAAATGCATAATACACGTAAGAATTTAGTTTATGTATATAAAATTTTTCTTCCGAATTTTTCTGGTTTATATGCATTGGTACATCTGTATTTGAATAACGTATTAAATGTATAGGAAGGTCACATACATAATTTATTAATGCATGAATATTGTGGCTTAAATTTCTGATCTTGAGCTGTTAATTGTGGGATATTATAAAAGCTTTATTGAATTTTTAATTGTAAAAATATTGGTCTTAAAAACATTTTAAAGTACTTTTATTTATATACCCAAATATTCCAAATAATTGCATATATTTAGGATGAAATAAAAAAAAAAACTAAAAGAGGTGCTAACATAATGTTCGAATTTAAGGGTTAATTGCTTAATTTAAGAAAAATAATTATATTTTTTAATTGTATAGTATTTAAAGTTAGCTCTCTGCACTTATAAAAATTTGAAAAAATTTGCAGTTTTGGGTCAAAATTCAAATTTTACGAATTTCGAGCTGTGGTATCTTGAGAGGGGATAGTGTTGGAAAAAAAGTTTTTTTTTAACGAATTAAATTTTTATTAATAATAAGCTATTCTGCTTAAAGTCGCAAATTTTCCTAATTAAAGTCGTAAAATCCCATAAATGGCTTTGAGCGACGGATTACTATTTTTCTAAAATAAGTGAGGGTAATATTAATACAACAATACCCTGTGTATATTTATGTATAATTAGTAGTATATAGGCTTTCATATTCATATTTTATTAAAAAAAAATTTATTATTTAATATTTTTGAACAAATTTTTATTTTATTACTTTATTAAATTGTTTGATTCTTTTTTAATGATAAATTTAGCGACCGCACTGAATTTTCTTTAATAAATTTTTTAATAAAATTGCACCACACACAAAATCCAATTTTTCTTTTCTCTTCCTTTTTTATTTTAACTCATGTTTTGTAATGTTTCCGAACTTGGTATTGTAAGTAATTGAAATGCACACATGCATTACGTGTTCTCCACATGAAGTAACAAAAAAAAAAAAAAAACTTATTACTAGCAATGACAAGACAATGGAATAACTCATCATTAGCTATCAAAAAATTTTTAATTTATTACTTTTCAATGTACTCAATACTGTGGATTGGATATAAGAGTTCCCTGGTATAAAGATTAAATGACCAATTATGTAATAAAGCCCAAGTATTGAAATGGAGTCTCTGAAAAATTTTTGATAAATATGATTTGTTGGTCATTTAGAAAGGAAATAAAGTGAGTCAAAAAAAATTGTTTTTTTTTTCTTTTTTTTTTTGTTTTTTTAATCTTGTGCAGTTGTTGCAGTTTATTTTGTTGTTCTTCTTATATTTTGTTTTTTTAAATTTTTTTAATATTTATTTTATTTTGCTTCTGGTATTTGCTTCTGGATTTCTTTGGTTTTGTTAAATTTTTAATCTTCTATATATTTTGATTACAACTCACGAAATATCTTTATTGTTTAATAAAGAATTCTCTCTCTTTTTAACCTCTAGATCTATCGTAATCATCATTGTCATATATATTGTCGTTGCACTCAACAAATGAGGACATTGAGCTTTAAAATAATTTATTATTTATTTTTTTTTTTGTATATTGTTTTAGACATTTTTTATTTTTCTGTGAAGAATAAAAATGACAAATCTTGAAAAAACAAAAATAATTTTAAAAAAGCCTTAAGCATAATGCTAAGAAAAACAAAACAAAAATTAAACAAAATAAAAAAATAGCGGCATAAATATAAAAGATTATAGAAGAATTGAAAAGAGAGAAAACTATAAATAATAATAACAAACAAATAAGAAAGTAATAAGAGAAATAATAAAAAAAAATTAAAAGGAGACAATAATAAAAGAGTTAAGAATATAAACAAAACTCGGAAATTTCAAAAAAATCAAAAAAGAAACAACCCAAATACAAGGATAAAAAAATTTATACAAGAGATTAACTAACTAGAGCCGGTAGAATTGAAACAATTTCATTATTCATTATTCATTAATAATATGAATGGACGATCCAATTATTTTATAAAAGTGTTGGTTTTTGGAAGGTCCAATACTTTTTTTTCCCCGTAAGAAACCGGAGTCCCTAAAGGTATGATTCGCACTCCCAACTATACATTAGCGCTATAATCAGACCCCTGAAAAATTGCAACATTGCTGTAGAGACTACCATTGAGGTCAAATAGCCACTCCCAGATCATTCCAACCCCAATACTTCATACTGAGTGGAAAGTAATACTATATTAGTTATAATGTGTTCGTTAAAATTGTTGAAAAGAAATCAACGCAATTTTGGTAATAATGGCCAAACACAATCCGACATAATGTCAGTTAATTAGAATTTGAAACAAGATCAATACTATTTATAGATATTTTTTAAAGTTAAGGTTTGTACTGCCTATATTTTTTAACAATCATATTTTAATTATCTATTATTTGTAATTTTAGCTTAATGTAAACAATATCTGGAAAAGATGAGCAGATATTTAGTACATTTAGGCATTTGGGATTGTGACTTTAAGGTAATAATTTTTGCGTTACATAATATAAAAATAATTATAAATTTTAATTATATTTTAGTTGCAGTATTAAAAGTTGTAGATCACTATAGAACAAATGTAATTGAAACAGTAAGACCAGCATAATATTAACTTCAAATTAAAAGAGCTAAATAAAATAAAAGCTCAAATTATCATTTATATTGAATATTGCTGTCGTGCAAAGTAAGTATCAACAATGTTTCAATAATATACATACAATATAAGAAATCTCTTAGCGGCATAAATTAACATATAAACAATATCTGTAAATTATACTTGATAGTATAAGAATGTAGGAAAATAAAAACCCAAAAAAATATAATAATAATAATGAATGTTTAAAAGACAGTAATAAACATTTACATGACATTTTTTGTTGAATTACCCTGAACATAATGTACGTATGTAATGTGTGTTTCTATATGATAGTAGTAGGTACTCATTTATATATAGTTGTAAAATTGATGATAATAATAATGTTGTTCAAGTAAAATGTTTTCGGGCCCTCAAGAACAAAATGCAACAATAAAATATACTTATACAAATAACAAAAAAAAAGAAAAATTTAAGAAAAACAACTGTTTTTATTTTTCTTCTTGTTTTTTTCTTTGCCATATTAGATTGGAATAAAATGGCATTTGGATTCATTCATTAATCATTTATTATGGTCATGATGTCTTTTATATAATTTTACTGATCTCCATCTTCAATATGAATAATTATTACTT